GACTTCTAGGAACAGGACTTCTTGAATTGAGCCCCAGTTTTGAACGATGCCGCCGCTGGGAAGGAACATCGAGCCGCGGACCACCCAGGTGCCGAGGGCGAGGAGGACACCGAGTAGGACTGATATGAACCAGATTTTTGGGAGCTGCCATTCTACTGGTCGGAGCTCGAATGAGGCGTTATCGTAGGCAACTGCAACAGTTGCAAGGTCGGCAAAGAGCGCGAGGAAGACGATCAGCTCCACGCGGATGCTTTCGTTAATGATGATCATTGAGGTCACAAGATAAATTTCCAGGTGCAGGCAGAGGGCAATTCGATACTGAATGTATGCCTTCATTCGGTGGAAAATCTGCCGTGCCATCTTAATGGAGTCGATGATCGTCGACAAGCCGGGCTCCAAAAAGACAATGTCTGAAGCTGATTGCGCTGCTTCGGAAGCTCCTTCAACTGCAATCCCGCAATCTGCTTTCTTCAACGATGGTGCGTCGTTCACGCCGTCACCGGTCATTGCAGTGAGATGGCCTCGATTTTGCAACATTTGGACAACCTGGTATTTATGTTCCGGAAACACCTCTGCAAAGCCATCTGCCTTTTCGACCAAGTCGCCAGCCATTGCTCCGCTCAGGCCGCCGTGAATCAGCTTATCCGAGTTGTACACTTTGGTCCCAAGCGCAAGCATCTTGCAGGTCTCTTTTGCAATCGCCAATGCATCACCCGTAAGCATCTTCACACTGATTCCTAGATTCTGCGCCTCACGGATCGTGTGTGCCGTATCTTCGCGTGGAGGATCAAACATAGGCAGCATTCCCAAGAGCGTCCACGGTTCTCCTTCTCGCTGAACTGCAACTCCTAAAGACCGGAAGCCTCGGTGGGCAAACTCTTGTGCTTTTGCCTTGTAGAGATCCGATGTTTCCTTGGAACATTCGCTGAGCTGGAGAACTGCCTTTGGCGCACCTTTTGTGCATGTATACCGAACGCCATCGCAAGTGACCACTGACACGATCCGTTTCGACACGGGGTCAAATGGGGTGAATTTCTCAGTCGTCCATCCCCTTCGGAGAATCTCGCGCGCACGGGGGTAGGATCGGAGCGTAAGGACAGTAACCTTATCAATGGGATCGAGCGAGTCAATGTTATGTGAGGACGCAAGTGCAGCTACAGCGAAAAGCCAGTCGATGTCGACCCCTTCGGCCACATACGGGTCGCGGATGCTGAGTTTGTTCGCGGTCAGTGTGCCGGTTTTGTCAGAACACAAGATATCAACGCCCTGAACAATTAGCACTGGCCAACTTCAATCTGGTGGAACGTACAGCAAGAGATTCAATTGCAGTAAGCTTCTGCACAATTGCCTTCTTCTTTGCCAGATACGCTGCTCCAACGGCCATCGTTGTCGTCGTGACGACAGGAAGACCGACCGGAACACCGATAATCAGCAAAGATAGCGTGTAATGTAAAAGGGTCTGCTGGCGTGGCGAGGCAATAGGGAGATGCCGGAAGAAACCACCAATCCAAGCAGCCAAAATCCATGCCATAACCAGGATCAACAGGGATGAGCCGATGTTATCCATGACAATTTCGAAATGTCCTGCTCCCTTTGCGGCTTGCACCATACTCGCCGTGCGGCCGACAAACGAGGTCTTTGCAGTAGTCTGGACAATAGCATACGCCTTGCCACGCTTGCAGCCTGTCGTGTAGTAGATCATTCCGCCCATGTATCGATCCACCGCAAGCGACTCGCCTGTAATTGCAGAGTGATCGCACGCAAGAATTGGATAACCTCGCTTTCTGGCAGGCTTCTTCTGCTCGGCTTCTTTCTCTTTGCCGTCTGCTTCCCCTTCCCCTTCATCCTCAATGTCGGATTCAGAGGTGCTGCTGAGGTCGCCGTGCTCGAGCAAATTCTTGTACTCATCGAAGCCGTTGGGGTCTTTGAAGTCGCAAACGACCTTGGAGTCGGCGGGAACGACCTGGCCATCTGTAATGATAACCTAATGTTCTTAGTACGGAATGCAAATTCGGATTATAGACTTACCACGTCACCGGGCACAAGCTCTCGCGCCAGAATCTCATGATCTTGACCGTCACGAATAACATGTGCTCTCATTGCAATGTCTCCTTTAAGACTGGCAACAACATCAGCGGCTTGCTTCTCTTGATACCAGCCGACAGCGGCGTTCAGACACAGGATTCCGATGATGACTCCAAAGTCGACCCAATCTTCCAAACCCGCGGCAAGGAGAACAGCAAGTTCCATGACTAGACTCATTAGCCATGTTCAGGGATAGCATGAAGATGCATACCGTATAAAATTGGCCCTCGGAAGTACGACAAGACCTTCGCGATTGGATTCTCCTTCTCCGAAACCAGCTCGTTCCATCCAGACCGTCGCCGCCTGTTCGGCACCTCAGTGCTAGGCAACCCCTGCCTAATGTCCGTGATAAGCCAATCATCAGGAAACTTGCCCGGCTCCTGCTCCTGGACCTGGCGACGAATCTTGCGCTTCTTCCATGGCGCGTACCAAACCCTCTTCTCTTCCACATTTTCCTCCCCTTCTTCCTCACCCCGTTCGCGGAACGTCGAAATGTACTTGACGAGCTTGCCGTATTCGTCTAGGTTAGACCAGTCTTCCTTTGTCGACGCACGAGAAACACGTCTCGAGGCCCGTCTCTCGCCGGCTCGTTCGCTCTTATCGGCCCGTTCCGTATCGCCTCGCTCGCCAGAGAAGGAGATCCGTCCAGGCGCACCCGGTGCGGCACCTGCTTTCCCTTCGGCCTTTTTGGCATCGCCCGAGGCGCCGGCGGGCTCGGACATGTTGGCGAATGCTGACTTTTTGTGGGAGGGTCGACGTATTCCCTGTGTTTTCGGTGTTCAACACCAAATCGACGCGGGCAGGAATATCTTCATGAAGAGAGAGAAAACCAGACCGGTGAGCCGGAATATCCCTCACCCCGGCCTTTCGATCCGGGCTGTGACGTAGTTGAGTCGACTAACTTCCAGGAGAACGTATGATGTAGGCATTTGAGTTCGTGGCCGCGATGGCCTCGCGGAGGAAGCCGACTCGCGTGTTGGGCGAGAGTCCATGGTCGGTCTGAGACGGTTCGTTGACACAATGACTGGTGTTTTCAGATGTCTTGACGTATAAGACGTCGATATCCGAGATGATCACGACAATTTCCCTCATTTGGTGGATGAAAGCTCGGGCCAGGTGTTGTTGTAAAAGCTAATCAAACTGTGTAGTGCTCATGGGATTATTCCGAATGCAGGAGTGGGCAAGTACGATGGAACAGATGACTTTCGCAAGGAACAAACAAGGCCAGTAAACGAGGTCTTGGGTCGGAATTAGCTCTCCTCGAGCTGTCATTCGCAGAAAGAGGATCCATTGCTGCGCGTGAAACTCTCCCGGTGGTTCCGATAGTGAGATTGAATGCGACGTTGACGGGAGGGACGTAACAGATCCATCACAAAACATTGCAAAACATGCTGTTTCATCGATTTTCATCAGCCTTACATCAACAAATAATGATTCAACGCGGTCACACTTAGTTTTATTGACGGAAGGCTGAGGGAGAAGTTGTCAGGGAGATGGAAGAAAGTGAGTGGAGGGAGAAAAGGTTTCGCGGTCCAATTTTGACTTCGGATGCCGTCACCACGACTCGTCAAGTCCGCAATAAACAGCAGTTCAATGTCCGGCCAGCAACAGATGAAAATCTGGTGGATCATCTGGTCTCTCTACACACTAATAGACGTCAAGATTTCTTTCATAGCCTTCTGTAGTAACCAGGCTTTCATTACCTAACAAATGAATGATTAAGATATATAGTTCATATCTGTGGAAGACAACAAAGATGGGATAATCCAGTAGTGGTTACAATACAGGTAGGGGGCTGGAGCTTTGGCTCACTTATATACTTACGATGTAGCGTTCCACAGCCTGAGAAGCCTCCGAGGTCGTTAATCCGATATATGTGTTGAATTTGACGGAAAAGGGCTCAATGACACCACTCCTGAGACCAGGCTAATACGTGACTAGGCCTCGGAATCGAAGTCCACCTGCCCGGGCATTGCTGTAGGGAGGCGTTTGGAAACGAAGCGATCACTTCCTACTGTTATCTATTAGTTCTTGTGTGAAGTTGTACCGTAGAGAAGACTTGGACACCCAGTATGAAATAAGGTTACATTGGACTGCCCCCATAAACGATACAACAATGACAGGGGCAGTTGTCGTGGAGGTCATTGGCGAGTGTTCGCGCCTTCCCTAAGAGTACTGCTGAATATTTGGCGGCTCATACTTTATCAAGGAAGCCATTTGCAGACGCGAGCACGATTAGTCTTGGTACTACACTACTTAAGGAGTCCCACTTGAGTGACCTGTGAGCGTGGCAATGACCACAGGGGCAGTTCTGCCGTGATAAAGATCTATGACACAAAGTAAGCCTTTTGAGGCACTCCCCATAAAGCTCGAAAGTAGATAGAATGGCGTAGCGAGACAACAAAACGTCTTTGGCGTATGAGCTGCCCAAGGTGAGATGCAGCGCTCGATAATTCCTGCAGCCTCCATACAAACCGGAGAGGATCTCTTGCTGTCACTGAAGCTTGCGCTCGGCCTAGAGAGGAAGTTCATTAGCAGTAGATACTGGTGCCCTTTCATACCTAGAAGGCTTTCTACAACACCTCTCGCAATAGCCAGGATTAGGGTAAGGAAGGAAGCTTCCGATCCTTCCCCCGGGTGCGTGGGTAGTAGTGAGAGGTCCCGATCCATGAAAAACTCTTCTTCCCAGCTTGCCTTGAAGACCCTTGCACTCCTGGCCATAACTTACCCAGGGAAAGTTTATGCCTTGGGAGTGTAATTTGGCAAGCCAGAAACAAAAGGTTAATAGCACCCCTACCCATACAAAGAGAACAAAACTCTCCTGAACTTCTATTAATAGGATATAAGCCTACCAAGCTTAACTAGGTGAGTATTATATGGAGCGGATTGGGCAGATTACCACGGTAAAAAATTCATGACAAGAGTGGGATTCGAACCCACGCCCCTTTCGAGATGCGGAAACTCTGCTGAGTAATGAGATTCGGGTTAATCGCCTGAACCGCACGCCTTAACCACTCGGCCATCTTGCCTTCTGATTAGGAACTACCAAAATATCAAATATTCAAAAATATATAGTCCTTTGAGTCTAGGCTATCTTTCATCATTTCTCTGATCTAGATCTGTGTTACTCACGCAGTGTGAGAAACTTGATGAGGGAGCACTTTATGGTTCTCTTTTCCTCAAATCATGCTTTGGACCTTCACACACTCTCTCATATCAACATAGCCCGTCAAATATGGATCTGCCCAAGAGTGATGACTCTGAGCATGCCCAACACCGCTGTGCTACTGTGCCCGACTGTTCCAACTGTGGTTGCAATGGCCATGGGGTTTTAGTGTGCCCCTGGATTATTTGTAGAAACTGTCACCTCCCGGGTCACATCAGAAAGGGTTGCCCGCATACAGGCCAATGCAAAAGATGCTACTCCCTAACCCACGGCCTGGATCAGTGCCGATGGAACAAACCAGAGTTTAGAGACATTACCTTCCAATTGTCCCCGACGAACAGGCTAAGCTCCTCCGTCTGTCCATATTGCAAGAAGAAGTGCCAATTATCCTGACTCTTGTGCCGTTTAGGATTAAGCGTTGGGATAATCTCTCAGTTGACCCACAAGGATCCTATGGTCCGAGTTGCCATTCCTTTGCAAAGGACGTAAGATGCCGCATTTTCCCTAGTTGGTGAAGGGCCTACGGTCCTAAGTCTATCAGGAAACACATTAGAGATATTCTCGGTTGTGCTCAAGGGCCTTCCCTGGGCTCTACGCACATATGCTACTACAGATTAAGAGATGATACAGACCTATCGCCTCCGCAATCCCGCAAACAACATTCTTGCGTGTCCTCAGTCCGTTTCCAGAAGAAACCACTATTGTTGGATTAACGACTCGGTCAAGACTGTCCATCGTAGGTGCTTTCTGCAATTGCTGACCTGTATGCCCTAAGTGCCAACCGCTAACGCCTATCTTGCATGCGATTCCTTCGGGAATACGGCTACGGACAGCCCTTCTGTTTACAGACGTTGTTCGGCACACGTTTTGCACCAAGATCTCCGAGATTGAAGACAAGTCTAGCTCGTTCTCGAGCTGGACACCGTACGACGCCGAGCTCAAACGACTCCTCTGGGGAGGAGGCCAGTGAGCGGGACGCGGTAACATCCACTGAGCCCGTTATGGTTGATGTTGCAAACGCTACTGGGCCTGCTACTATGCCAGGAATCACCACTACCCCCAGGAGGTTAACCTGACAGCGCAAGAGCCCTGATACTGGTGATTATGAGCTCCTAATCAAACGTCTCCCAACGAAGCCCACCATACCTCACCTAGCGGCCACTGACGGAGACGGTATAGAGATGGTCCGTACTCGAGATCAGCTAGCCCAGGTCATTATTTAACCACCTGGCTTCCGGAAGCGGTACCAGCGCTACTTTAGACTTGACAAGATACTTGATTCGCAGATCTGAAGATTACTGCCGCTTTTGGAGTTCAATAGTGTTTCTCGGCTATATCTGCAGAGCTCCATGCGATGGGCGATGGTCTATCATGTTTCACAGTGGTCAGGCTCAATCCTTGTCAAAATCCTCGAAGCCCGGTTTCAATGTTTATGCCAGAGCCCGATGTCTCATATGGTCTTTCAGAGATTGCTTTCTGGGCACTGGAGCACTTTTCATTCTCCTCCAAACCCGCGACGACTTGCCCTATGTTCCGACCAATAACCATCAATAGGTGAATTGATAGGCTCAACATCTTAAGCTCTCTAATAGAATCGCGTGGCTTTAAGGATTAGACTATCTTGAAACCTGGTGGTGGTGCATCAGCGAGTTGCCAGCCTTGTCGCACCTGAGGACTCTCGTATACATATTGGCACTGGGTGTGCGTCCCCAAGACTCCTATAGAGCCCGATAGCGCTCTACACCTTCAAACATCCATCAATCAATCATTTGAATGTTATTCGAGTGTCGTTCGAGTACATATCCACTCGTCATTCAAGCATCCATCTGATAGGTAAACACTGAAATGACTTCCGATATAACTCCACTCTGATAACGGCTTCGGTCGAAGGCCCGAAGATCTTGCCAGTTGATGAAAAAAGAGCAATTTCTTTACTCTCTATTAGAGACAAGCTCTCCTGTATTTGATAAATTTATAAACGCCTGAAAATACTTGCCCTCATATCTAAAGTCCCAGCAATAAAAATTGTATAGCTTACTGACCTACACCTTGTACCAAAGTATAAAGTCATCTTCCAGAACGCAATCTGGTAGATTACGGCATATATTTCACCTTCCAGGCACTAGGGCTGATTAGCCCTATACAAATGTCTATAATAAAGAGAATACACATGCAAACCCCTATGGTGTGAGAAGTTTTCTCAGAGAACGCCCAGGCCAAGGTTATGGGATAACTTTGAAAATGCGGCTCTTTCGCGTTTTTGCTTAGATAACAAATGAACTTACTCTGTTTTCATCAATTGGCAAGATGGCCGAGCGGTTAAGGCGTGCGGTTCAGGTGATTAACCCGAATCTCGTTACTCAGCAGAGTTTCCGCATCTCGAAAGGGGCGTGGGTTCGAATCCCACTCTTGTCATTTTGTTTCGCTGTTCTTCTTTGTCAACCTTTTTTGCTTTCCGTTCCCGCTCTTTTTCTATAATACAGGAAATGATGAGCCTTAATGCGTTAAGGATCATCCCTAGGCACCTGATCTCAGCGCAGCCCTCATCAACTTCCTCTGCGCTATGTTTCCAATATCCGCATGGTGAATACTCGAGTATGAAGTTGTGGACGGGAGAATCCAACGAAATTAATCTCTAGCAGATGCTTCACCATGGTCCCCAGGCAGAAAGCGGGAACAGGTCAGCCCGGCGTACAGGGCCCTGCATTTATCCAGGGTGTCTCTGTCAAATGCAGTGGGTGGGACTTGCGGATGCGCTCCTCGAGAAGTGGTGGTTTTTGATGATCTAGTTTGGGACGTTTGAATTTAGGGAGGGAGGGTGCATAGTAGAAGAAAAGCGCCGCGTGAAAGAGAGCCGCCCAGATCCTCAAACAATCGAATGTCCTGATCAGTGGTGATCCCCTTCAGAGAAAACCATTCGTGAATCCTTGGTGTTATCGAGCTTATTGTCATTGGCTCTGTTAGGTTTTCTCTCTCTGACCAGTAACGCAGTATAATTTCCTTGCCGACCAGCCATGACGCGATAGTGAATCCATAGATGTCGGCTGTCTCCGTGACATTCGCGGCGAATCTGAAAGCCTCGGCATGTTCTTTGGTCTCTTCCCAACTCTCACAGCGTGACGTGACGGCAAGAGAAGCCGACAGTCGTACATAGATCCTGGTGATCTCGGTCTTCGCAGCATTGGTCTCCAGGTACGCGGGGAAGGTGCAGCCTCTCAGCTGGATAACCGTTCGATTTCGTTCCAGTTCTGGCCCAATGACCACTCCTTCAGCATTAGGACCGGCTAGCAAAATGACACGGAGTTTAGGCGACCGGATTAAAGCCGTGTGGAACTGCTTGAGGTGTTCATGATTTGGGGGCACTGACACTCTACTCGAGTTTCAGCCGGACTCAAAGCACTGCTGAAGATTATACGTCCAGACTAGACAATTCGATTCGGTAAAGTTTGCTTGGATGAGCGATGACGGGAGGGCCTTAATGGACTCCTGAATATTGAAGGTGTTTTCAGAGTAGATAACCGGGCATGGATCGAGCACGACCCCTACTCGCGCATCAACTGTTCCAAAAGGCCGGGTAACAAGAAACCGAGGACCGGGGCGCAGTCCCCCATCTTGCAGGAGAAGACTGGTGATATCAGTCGAGTGTGGCTCATCCTGGCTACTTGAATCCTTCCAAACAAGGTCTCCACTGCTCTCTGATTCCAGGATACTCCGCTTGACAGCATCCAAGTACATAAAGCCGGGCCAGTAAGGTTCATGGTTCTTCCCATCTTTCCTTTGCCCGTTGCGTCGAGCTGCCCTTTGACGTTTCCTCTCCATTGGCCAGGCCCGGATCTCGTCATCCACGGACTCGAAAGCTTGATCGACGTAGCGGACTCTGGTTGATATGGAAAGCGAGACTCCTTGGAGAAACGGTGGTAGAACATTGAGCCCCAGTGTTGAGTAGGCACTTTCTCCGAATAAAAGCTTCAACTCAGATTTTGGGAGGCTCTGAAAGGCTCGACACATTAATGTCTCCAAGATATTGTTCAGGAGGAGTCTAGTTTGCTTTCCGTGGGCGTCAGCAGCCAGTTGAGCCGGCAAGCTCCATAGCCGGATGTAATTCATTGCCCTTTTACCCTGGCCTTGAGATAAGATATAGTAGTGTAGCGTTTCCCGATTGTTCTTAGCTGCTGCCGTGAGATGCTGGTGTATTATGACCCCTGGTTGTGATGCCTGGCCTACGTAAGGCCTCCAGTATCCGGAGCTACGGTCATCGGTGATATAATCTAGATAGCCGCTCTCCCAGGGCCAGATCTCAAAATATTCTTGGCGAGTTCTGACCTGATCTAGTCTAAGACACAGTTAGCTCTCATATTATCGGATGCAATGGACTGGCATTTGGGGTAAGGGATTAGGGAGAAGATATACTCCTTGCGTGTTATCACTTTGCCTTGGAGGGCTTTTAGCTCAGGCGTAATACTCTGCCAAACCATTGTAGCGACTCCGTCTGTTCCGCCAGACATTTCGATTATTCCGTAATAAGGCAGCACTACGTGATTGTGCCAGTCTTCACTCCAGATGTCGTCAACTATCTGCGAGATCAAGACTCGAAGATCGGGGAATATAATGCTATGGTTCAATAAACATGACTAATTTCTGTTAGCACTGGGACAGTGGCGTTGAATAATGGATTTATTGAGGAACAAACATCCCGATTCTCAAGGCTTGGTGCAACTTCGACAACCTCAGCATGGCTTCTGTAGATGGTAGGCGCACTGTTGCGATTAGGGTCCAGATTGCTTGGTGATAAAGCAATTTGCCATGGCCTCTATCATATTAAGAGTCAGATATAGGACAGCGCGCAGAACAGTGGAATGGAGA